CATTCTACAGAAAAAAAAAAAAAAAAAAAAAGATCCTGAACACCAAGAAAACTAAGGGCAAAAGACAAAGCCACATGATGAGCTCCATTATCTTTATCAGCACAACTTTCAGCAATATCTGGAGATTGCCGACCAATAGAACTAGTAGATTCATTTCCAAAGCAAACTGTCATTACCGGCCACCTACAAAGCCAAGTTCATGTGCAATTTTGGTGGAGAGAGAAAGAGGATGAAAGATAGAGAGATCAGTCGGCAGAGAGAGAGAGAGAGAGAGAGGGGGCAACGGTGATGGCAATGACATGGTGGTGGTCTAGATCTAGGGTTAGGGTAGGTAGATCTAGGGTTAGGGTAAGCAGTGACGAAACCCTTAGGGTCACCGGCGATAAATCTCTCATTCCCTCATTCAAACATCTCTCTCTCTCTCTCTCTCTCTCTCTCTCTGATGGTAGCTCTGGTGGAGGTGCTGAAGTGAACATATAGATCTCTCTCTCTCTCTCTCTGATGGTAGCTCTGGTGGAGGTGCCGAAGTGAACATATAGATTTGAGGAGTGAGTGATCAAGGTAGAAAGAGAAGATAAGAAAATGGGAAGACGAATGATCTAAGGCAAATCTAAGAAAGATCAGTACTCTCTGCCTCTTCATCTTCAGCTACAAAAAAAAATTAGTAGCTAAAAACTGAGTATTGGCGACTAAAATTCAGTTTAGTAGCCAAAAGGGTACGTTTTTGGCGACTAAAAACAGGTTTAGTCGCCAAAAGGTGTGTTTTTAGGCGCAACATTTTTTTTTAGCGACTGCAAAATTAATTAGTAGCCTAAAATTGTAGAATTGGCGACTAAATAATGGATTTAGTCGCCAAAAGTGAGATAAATTTTTTTTTAATAAATAATTTATTTTTTACATAAATTATATTTGAATATATATAATTATATTTTTATATATTCTGTTGTATTAATACTGGTGAAAGTAATATATAAATAATATAAGTTGCAATTATATTCATGTGATGGTTGAGTGGCATAGTGGGGTGGGGTGTGTTGTTAAGGTTTGGAGCTGGAGGTCGCAAGTTCGAAGCCTGGGAGATGCTGAGGCACAGTGGGTATTTTTTTTAAAAAAAAATGCTTTTGGCGACAAAATACTGTGGTCGCCAAAAAGAGTGACAATTGCCGACGAAAACTTTAGTCGCCAATTGTATAAATAATAAAAAAAAAACACTATTGGCGACTAAAACTTTAGTCGCTAAATGTATAATTTCACAAATGGAATCGACTATTGGCGACTAAAACTTTAGTCGCTAAATGTATAATTTCACAAATGGAATCGACTATTGGCGACTAAAACTTTAGTCGCTAAATGTATAATTTCACAAATGGAATCGACTATTGGCGACTAAAACTTTAGTCGCTAAATGTATAATTTCACAAATGGAATCGACTATTGGCGACTAAAACTTTAGTCGCTGAAGACCTGTATATTGCCGACTAACTAATCTTTAGTCGCCAAAGGTATTGCCGACCATGTATTGGCGACCACAGCGGCGACTAAAATATTTAGTCGGGAAAAGTGAAAATTCTACATTTGGCGACTAAAAGAGGACTTTTGGCGACTAAAAATTTAGTCGCCAAAAGTGTTTTTTCTTGTAGTGTTATTTGAAATTCACCTAGGGGTGTTTTGTGAGACCATTCGTGTCTCGTTTGTAATCGTTTCGAAACTTTTTAATTGATAGTAGAATCGGATTTCGATCCCGTAGACGTACCTCACATTGAGGGAACCACGTAAAAAATTTTGTGTTGCTTTTGATTTAATTTTTTCGCATTAGTGTTTATTCTCATTGATTGATTTACTTGTAAAAAATTATTAATTTTCCCCAACATGTTTGGTCACTGATAAACTGTGAAGTGTACACCATACAGTAAAAACTTGCATGACAACACAGTGCACCAACTTTTAGTGTGTGTTTTCTCCACCATGCAAATGCAATCTACATTACAATGTGTTCCATCATTAAGCGTCATTAATTCATGATCCTGAATAAATTATGTTATCACCACTCAGTTGCAACTTGCATGGAATTCATTCATTGGTCGAGGGACTCTTAAATTGACCATATCCCATGACAAGGAGCTTAACCAAAAAAAACAAAACAAAAACTAAGCCAAAATCAGAAAATGAATTGAGTGTGGTTATCACTAACTAAGACTCAGTTGTGGGGCTATACACGTGGAATTCATTCATTGGTCAAGGGATTCATAAATTGAGCATCTCCAATGACATGGAGCTTAGCCCAAAATAAATAAATAAATAAAATCTATCCAGAATCAGAAAATGAAGTGTGAGTGTAGCATGACCACACAAGATCTTCCTTCTACCTCCAAAGATAAATAGGTACAAGTTAAAATGTTAGGTAGAGTTTAGTAGAGTTTTCTAAATATAATTTAAGAATAGAGTTATATTTTGAGTTTGTAAGTTTTGGAATTATAATTTTAATGTAAAAAATTTGTTTGACTATGAGTTTTGAAAAGATTTTTGAATTGAGGTTTTAATGTTGATGTGACATGTGAAATAAGAAAATTTATTTAGTTATGAGTTTTGAAAAGAGTTTTCAAAACTTAATTTAAATTGTTATAACTCATAACCAAGCATTCTACTCAAAACTCTATTGAAAATTCTGATCAACACTCATAAACAAACTCTTTTTTAAATTCAATTAAAAAAATTAATTATTAACAGAAAATAACATTAATCAATTTTTTTAATTGAAAATATTACAAAAGAAATAATTTTTTTTCAAAATAAATATTCAATTACTAATTTAAAATAACTTTTGATTGTATATTTGGTTAGAATTTTTTTTAATATTTTTCAATTAAAATATTTTTATATTTTTAATAATTACTGTCACAAATTATTTGCTATTTATTGTATTGTTATTTTCAAATAAGTGACCAAAAAATTTATCAGGTATTATCTATGTGGGAGTTAAAAACAAAATTAGAATATCATTTTGTTAACATCTACGCAGTTTACCACACAATTCAATTTTATTCGAATTTTTTTATTTGTTGATTTTCATCAACTCCGTAGGACATGCATCCTTCATATACTTCGTCATTTATATCATCTGTTCAACCACCAACTTTTATATCAGAGGGTGAATAACCAACAGCCTCACCATCTTCATAATTTATGAAAAGGTTACTAATTTCTTTCCGGATGTCTTCTCTTCTTTGCTTTCTGTTGGCAATTGCCACACACACACACACACACCCACACAAAAAAATCACTGTAGCGGTCAACTGGCCGGACATCTAGGAGGATGTCCGGGAGGACAACCAGGTAGACTCAAAAAGTTCAAAAACTGTATGAAAAGGTGAGAGTTTTGGCTTGGCAGTTTGTTTTGGAAGGAACTCTGCCAAACGTGAAACAAAAATGTGTTTTGAAATGCGTGGTAGAATTAATTTTTGAAAACCCCATCCAAACGCTTTGTTCACGTGAGGAGCTGGAATTATGATTGGAAAGCTTTACCAAATACAACCTTATATTTCCCTAGCCCCAATTTATGTTTTAAACATTGTCAACCTTATTTGTCATTCTACAAGCCCAAAAATGGCCCGCAAAACTTGATTACTCTAAGGATTCATCTAAACATGGTGGTGTGTATCTGTGACCGTTCCTAGGCCCTGCAGTGACAAGAGCCTTGTGCACTAAGTTTCCCTTTTTATGGTGGTGGGTATATAGGCTCAATCTTTTTGGCTCAATCTAGTACTCCTAATTGATAGTACTATAAGCTTCTGGATCATTCCTAGAATGAGGTTCTGCAACCCAACTTTCGATCCTCATATGCCTATGAGAAGGTTTAGTTAATTCGTATGTTTATCGAGCTAGTCCCAAGTGCCTAAATAGCTCACTGCTGAGCACTCTTACGCCGAAGATGAACAGGGCTAAGCAATCTGCTGAAGATGTGGGATGTAATAAACAAATCGATAGGGATGTGTTCCACCTCAGAGGGAAGCACCCATGCAAGCAGTGAATATTGGCCTGAGTAACACAAACATTGTTGAGAATCTAATGCCCTAAACCCCCAAGGCTTCCTGCACAAGATTTGTACATGCAAGGTGAGTTGGGGCCTAAGATCAAGCCGAAAGGTGTAGTCAATGGATAACAGGTGAATATTCTTGTACTCACATTTGTTGGTCCCAAGGGATGGAGAAGGTGACTGACAACAAGCGCAAACCCAAATTCCCGTGTAATAATTTTAGTAAGTTAATACTAAAATAAGAAGAAAATGAATCTAAAGTTTTCATGATCAATGAAAAACACCATAAGAAATATAAGAAATGAAATTTAATAGTAACTTCCCATAACAAATCATGAATGCCAAGAACTTCATTTATTCACAATCAAGCAAATACTGTTGTCAACGTCCATGAACTAACTTTCTACACACAACTGTCATACGGACAAATTACCAAATGGATATGCAGTTTACTAATGTCAATACATACTTATTATTGATGCTAAGGGCTAGGCTATGTACACGGTTTCAATATTAAAACCGATGTAATTCACATCACCTAGCAATCTGTTGCTCAGAAACACCATCATCCACTACTTCTTCCTCACCACCAGGCCCCCAACCAAGGTTCACAGCCAGGTCCTCCACCGCTACCTTGATAACATCAGAACGAACACCAATATCGGTTGCATACCTACTCATGCAATACATACCAGCTGTTACTGTAGCCACACCAATGGGGCTTGGCATTAGCAACTTCAGCGGGGAAGAAATAAGTGCAGCCAAAGGAGCGCCGATGACAGAAGAGGCTTGCCCGCTTCTTCCAACCCCCGCTGTGTCAACTATCAAAACGCCCGTTTTACAGTACATCGCAAAATCCTCACAGTTGTTCTGAAAAACATCGTAATTTCCAAATCCGTTTTGAAGTAGGTACATTGCTCGGTGGATGACTGTCTCGGGTGGATCAGATGGTGCAGTGGTGCAAGTGCCGCCACGTACTTTGGCAAGGAAAACTGATGGGGTGACTCCATATTCAAAGCAGTAAAGAGAACCATTTTTAAGGAAGCAATCCAGGCAGGTCAGTACTACCCCACTTTCGGGTTGCCTAAATCCACAGTCGGGAAAAGTGGGACAGGATGACGGGAGGTTGTATATTTCCTCGTAGGAGTTAGAAGAGGCCTCAGTGCTTGAATTTGCGTTACGGGGTGTAAAATGAACCACTTTGCTTCCCCCAACAAAGATACCTGTATCATTTGACAATTCAAAATAGAAAGGGAGGACATGAAATAGGCTATTGAGATGCCATCTTGCTCGTGCAAATCATGTAATGCAAAATGGAAAAGAAAATGAGAACCTCGTTAGCAGCTGTACAGTTTTTTTTATTAGTTAAGCACTTTTTCATAAAGCTTAAACCATGTGACCATGTATCACTGCTAAAACACAAGGAACCAACCATTACAACACTACTCTCATGCAAGTAATGAAAAAAAACGACTTGCTCTGCCAAGAAAAACAAGAAATTAACTGTCACAGCAATCAAATAGACTAGAAGTCTAATAAAACCTGTAGAGAAACAATGATTACAAACTATAATTAAAACACCGCAGGCAGATTTAATTATTGATGGATAATGGAGCCACAACATCGAAAATTCAGATGTAACATTAAATATAATTAACATTAATTAAAATGCAACCTGAGCAATTTGTTTTCACAAAGGGGCCCGAAACCTATGAAGTGAGGGAAACAGACTATAATGCATGAAAAACTCTTTATAGTTGGACATGATTAATCATCAATCATGTTAATTTTCATAACATCATAAAAATTTAATAGAAGTTCTTTCTTTTTGGATAACATATCATAATAGTTGCTCTTAAGACTGTAACAAACTCCAAAATCTGTTATGCGCCAGCTCATCACACCCCTGTGCAGTACGTTGCTTCCTTCCCAACTATCCATATCCATATATAAAAAGTAGCACAGAAGAAAGCATGGAACAAAATGTGCATCCACAATGAGTTCCTCATGAAATAAGGCCAGAGTGAAGAGGTTTATCTAGATCCATGGGGGGAGTCTATCCAAATGTGCCTGACCCATAGGTAGCACAATAAGTTGTTCCACTTCACCCATTCAATCCATCTTCTAACTTTCAGATCTAGAATGGGATATGCAAGACAGCTTGAAAGATCATGATTATGTAACCTTAAGATCCTAAAGGCACAATTTTGTTTTGGTAATACAAAGACACGTTATGATGAGAAACAGGCTACGAACAAAGCTTGAGGTAAATTTCTACTAGACCTTCAACCCATTTGATTTTAGTCATTGACATTTCAGTAATTACAATACAATGATGACAGAAAGGTTTTCATTTTCTCAGCAATTCTAACATCTATTTTCAAGATCCTAAATATGTGTTATGTGTAAGTGTTCCAATTATTACAATTTAGCATAAATCGATTTTTTTTGTGTGCGCGCACTGGGCTTGGAGGAACCGTAAATCTAAGCAAAACATACTCACTTGATAATGTTCATAAGCTTAGAGCATCGTGATAAAAAGTTGGAAGTTGGAATACATTCGCTTCAGGATGTGAACCCAAGGGGAACGAACAACTCAACAAAACAAGTTAATAAAACTTCCACATACGATGCAAAGGCACATGATAGTGCCTCAGAGATTGATGAAATTATACTCACAAAATCTTCTAGCTTAGCTGAATCTTATATGCAAGTACAAAATTCAACGAATATGATGAATTGATTAAATACTAGGTTCTTCCCCTTAAATAACACGCGTTGCGCCTGCCTCCGGATGTTTCGAAAAGTGAGCAAGGAGCGCCACATTGACGCCTGGGTCCAGTGAAAAATGGGTAAAGGTTTTCACGTTTTTCTGGACGAGAGCGGATAAAGAAGCTAGTCCAAGATTATAGGTTTAGGATAGCCACATGTAGGGCTGCAAACGAGCCGAGCCGAGCTTTAGTATGTTTGGGCTTGTTTATTAAGATTTTAACGAGCTCGAGCTGAATAAAATATTAATGAATCGAGCTCGAGCCGAGTTGGCTTAGGCTCGACTCGAGCTCGAGCTTGAGCTTGTTCACGAGCCTTAACGAGCTAAAAAAATTATAAATTCATACTTACATGTGAGACTAAAGTTACAATTAAAGCTTTGATTATACAATTATATATACAATATATATAAACATACTTAAAAAAAAGTCCATATTTTAATAAAATAATAATATCCACTACTACTATTATATAAATGTACTATCTATAGTTAACTATTATTTACATTTATATTTTTTAAATATATAAATAGCATATTTCTCTTATTTTTTATACATATTTTTATATTATTTAATATATAAATAATAAATATTAAACAAGCCAGCTTACGAGCCGAGCTTTAGAATGTTTGGGCTTGTTTATTAAAAATTTAACGAGCTCAAGCTCGAACTCGAGCTCGAGCTCGAAAGCAAAAAAAAAATTAACGAACCGAGTTTGAACGAGCTTGAGCCTGTTCGTGAACGGCTCTGTTCATTTGCAGTCCTAGCCACATGGAATATAGGAACTTGAACTAGTAAGATTATGGAATTTGGTAGATGTTATGATTAGGAGGAGAGTTAGTATCTCTTGCATACAATAAACTAAGTGGACGGGTGAGAAAGCTTAGGAAATAGAGGATACTGGTTTTAAGCTATATTATAGTGGCAAGGATAGACACAGGAATGGGATAGGAATAATAGTTGTCAAGGGTCTTGTAGAAAACGTAGTTACGGTCATTAGGAAAGGTGATAGAATTATGTTAGTTAAACTAGTTATTGAAAAGAATATAGTGAACGTTATTAGTGCATACGCCCTCCAAGCAAAATTAGATGATCAGACTAAGAGAGTGTTTTAGGACCAAATGGGTGAGGTATTACAGGAGATACCCGTAAGAGAGAACCTAATTATTGGTGGTGATTTCAATGGCCATGTAAGAGTAAATAAACTAGGTTATGAGAGGGTACATGGTGGGTATAGTTTTGGTGATAGAAATGAGACTGGAGAGAGTATTTTAGATTTTGTGTTGGCTAATACTATGTATAAGAAGAGAGATGAGCATTTGATAACCTTCAAAAGTGGGTCAATTAGGAGCCAAATAGATTACTTTCTAGTAAGAAAAGGGGACCGTTTAAAATGCAGCGACTGTAAAGTGATTCCTGGAGAGAGCTTGACGTCTCAACATAGAATTTTGGTACTAGACTTATGCTTTAAAGGGCAATATGAAGTTCGGAAAGATAGTGGGCGTCGCAGAACTAGATGGCGGGACCTAAAAGAGAATAAACTAGACATATTTAAGAATATAATGAATAAATAAGGTACTTGAGACTTGGAAGATAATGCTAACACTATGTGGAACTCAATGGCTAATTCTATGAAGAGAATCTCAAGGGAAGTTCTTGGAGAGTCGAAAGAAAATGGACCAAACTTTAGGGAAACTTGGTAATGGAAGGAGGAAGTCCAAGCGGTAATAATGACAAAAAGAGAGCTTTCAAAAGTGGCAGAATGATAGAACTGAGGAAAATCTTAAGCGCTACAAATTGGCCAATAAGCAGGTCAAAAAAGTAGTGAGGAAGATTAAGTTGAAAGCCTATGATGACCTATACACTAGACTAGATAGTAAGGAGGGAGAGAAAATGATATACAGACTTGCTAAAATAAGAGAGGAAAGCAAGAGATTTTAATCAGGTTAAGTGCATCAACAGTGAGGACTCTAAGGTGTTGGTGAAGAATGAAGAGATTAAGGAGAGGTGGAAAAATTATTTTGAGAAGTTGTTAAATGAGGAACATGGCGGTAGGTCAAAAGGGGAGGAAGTAGGCAGTAATAAGAAAAACCAGGACTATAGGTTCTATTGTAGGATTATGGACTTTGAAGTGAAGTTTGCATTTAAGAAGATAAAATTGAATAAGGCTTTAGGACCCGATGATATATCTATTGAAACGTGAAAATGTTTGGGTAAGAAAGGAGTTGTTTGGTTGATTAGGTTATTTAACAATATTTTGTTGACTAGAAAAATGCCAGAGAAATAGAGAAAAAGTGTTTTAGTGTCAATATATAAGAATAAAGGAGATGTTTAGAATTGCAACTATAGAGGAATCAAGTTAATGTGTCACACAATGAAAGTGTGGGAGAGAGTGATGGAATGTCGATTGCGAGATATAACAGAGGTGTCAGAAAATCAATTTGGATTTATACCTAGTAAGTTAACAATGGAAGCGATCTATCTTTTGAGGAGAGTAATAGAAAAGTATAAAGAAAAGAAAAGAGACATTCATATGATTTTTATCGATCTTGAGAAAGCATATGATAGAGTGTCATATCATCTGGTGAGTGTTAGAAAAGAAAGGGATGACAAAAGGTTACATTGATGTGATTAGGGATATGTATGAAGGTGCGGTGACCACTATTAGATCACTTGCTGGAAAGACGAGTGAATTTCTAATTACTGGAGAATTACACCAAGGATCAACCTTAAATCCTTATCTTTTTGCTTTAGTTATGGATGAGTTGATGTGCAACATTCAGGATAATGTGCTATGGTGTATGCTTTTTGCAGATGATATCGTGTTATTGAATGAGACTAGAGAATGAGTTAACACTAAGTTGGAGATTTGGAGAAAAACATTTGAATTTAAAGGATTTAGGATAAGAAGAACTAAGACAGAGTATATGGAGTGTAATTTTAGTAACAACCACAATGGAAGCAGAGGAGAAGTGAAGATTGAGAACCAAGAACTACCTAAGAATGAATATTTTCGTTATTTAGGATTGATTATCACAACAACTGGAGATTAGAGTGGATGTGGTCCACAGAATTAAGGTCGGGTGGTTTAAGTGGAAGAGTGCATCTGGAGTACTGTGCGATAAACAAATACCCATTAGACTAAAAGGGAAATTCTATAGAACGGCTATTAGACCAACGATGTTGTATGGGACAGAATGTTGGGCAACTAAGAAACAATATGTAGATAAGATGAGTGTTGTTGCGATGAGGATACTAAGGTGGATGTGTGGCAACACTAGAAAATACAGAGTTAGGAATGAATATATTCGAGAATGGGTATGAGTAGCACCGATAGAAAATAAGTTAAAAGAGAACAGATTGAGATGGTTTGGTCATATACAACGGAGACTAACAAAGGCAGTAGTGAAGAAATGCGATACAGTGACGGTAGATGATAGTGTTAGGGAAAGGGGTAGACCTAGATTGATGTAGACTAGTGCAGTAAATAGAGATATGCATCTTCTTAATTTGACTAACGAAACAGCCGTGGATAGAGTCGAGTGGAGAAGAAGGATACATGTAACCTATAAAGCACGAATACTCCGATATGGCCCCTGTACGCGTGTCAAATACGTATCGGATACGGATATGTGTCAGATACGGCGGGATACGTATCAAATACGGTGGGATACGTATCAAATATGGCAAAGAAGTATCCTATTTTTTTTTTTTAATTTTTTGAATTTCGGATACGTTTGGGATATGCGAAGATACTTCAAGGATACGCTCAAGATACCTTCGGGATGCGGCGAGGCGAAAAAATAATTTTAAAAACTTATAATGGGAGTCAAACAGTAAAATAACAAAATAATGTAAAATAAAACAAAAAAATCAACGAACTAAACCCTAGGTTCGCAAAACAACAACACCAAAGGAGGAGTCTCTATCAACCAACCAAGCCCTAGGTTCGCAAACAACAGCAAGGAGGAGGAGGAGGAGGAGAAGGAGGAGGAGTTGATCAGGTTCGTCTCTCTCTCTCTCCCGTTCGCTCCCTCTCTCTCTCCCTCTCACTCGATCTCTCTGGACAAATCTCACTCGATCTCACTCTCTCTCTCTCTCTCTCTCTCTCTCCCTCTTGCTCTCGCTCTCACTCGATCTCTCCCTCTTCCTCTATCGTCCCACTTTCCTTTTCGATCTCCTATTTTTATAATACACATTTTATGTATTTTTTTAAATATACTCTTTAAGATCTATAAAATGAAATCAATATTAAATTTGAGATTATAGGGGAAATTTTTTCTCAATTTCTCAAGCAAAATTTACAAATTCTGAAAGTTATGAAATTTCATGGTTTTCACATTGGCCCCATTTGATATCATTTATATGTTAGCTTTTATACTTGTAAAATTTTAAATTATTAGTTTAAGAGAATTAAAATAAGTTGTAAATATGTTTGGAAATGAAAAAAGTTAAACCTATTTGGCTAAATAAATTGTTACATTTTTTTTTTTTTTGTGCAAAAAATATCAAAAATATAATTAAAACAAATATATGTCACTTTATTTGTTCATACATATTTAAGGATTTCAATTCTGCTAAAAAAAAACCCACATAATGTAGTTCAAAAAAATACATTGTCTTTTTTAGGCCAAACCACCTGAAAAATCAAATAAACTAAGTTTTATTTATGCATGCTACATTACTAAAAATTGTAAAAATAATATTTTTTACGAACATATCCCCGCCGTACCTGTATCCTAATTTTTTAAATTTTGTCGTATCGCCGTATCCATATCATGTCATACCCATATCCCGTATCCCGTATCCCATATCCATACTTCCTAGCATGTAGCCGATCCCATTTGATGGGACTTAAGGCTTGGTTTGGTTTGGTTTGGTTTGGTTTGGTTTATGATGAATTGATTATAACATGACAGGGAATCATTGCAATAGCTGCAAGCCTTGTCAAAATAGAGTACAAAATGTTTGATGTGAAGTTCTCCAAACCTAGAAAACATAATCAATTCCTACAGACATTTTGAAATTTTGCCTGAAATGATTCTTCCATGGGCCTATTTCTACAGTAACATAGGTTACTATTCATGTTCCAGTATGAAAAAGAAAGAAATGACAACATTGATGTGCCAATTTGCCACAAGTAGACCAACCAAATGAAATTAAATATAGGTATCAAACATTGATCAACATGCTTCTCTACATTTGTAGTGAACCAATTATTGGCACACACGGGCTTCAGTTGTAATGATTTCATGGCCAATGAACAGGATTGCAGGTTAAGAAGCAGCCACTATTAATCCCATTACTAACAACCCAAAAGATAGGATGCAAATCAGACCATTATTCTCCCATTAGTTGTCCTATGACCTTTATGTGAACTCAGAGAGTCGGAGAATGAAAGACCCAAAGAAACCCATGAGAGTGGACAAAAAATGAACCGATGCAATGTTGTTTTTGTACCATTTTCTCTAACCACTGAAAGACGCTCCTTGCTGTCCTATGTACCTATTTCTACCGGAAACATACATCTTCAGAGAGGCCATAAACTATTACAAGGATCATTTGATCATATAAATGAGTGCACTCAATAAAAGTTCTTCATTCAGTTGTAGGATAAGGACACGAAACCCAAGACATCAGCCATTACTGGCATATAAAAGTTCTACATTTTTAACTTAAATAGAGTCTTGTTTCAACATAGGAAATAAACATTTAAAACTAAAGTTCCATATGGTTTCCAAAAAAAAAAAGGGAATTTTGTGTTCCATACTCCCATTGACTTTGCTAGTAAAAACAGAACTTACAAACATCAAGTAGAATTAAGCGCAATCAAATCAAGGTTGAATAATCTAAGTTCCAATTCATTGGTATTTTAATTCAAATATTAGTTTCGTTCCTTTTCCAGCAATTTTTTCAGCAAATTAGCTCACCAAAAATTTAAAGTAATCCCTTCAAACCCACCGCAAATGGCAGAATTCCTTACTGACGAAATTTACAAAAGCATTTCAAAGATTAGAAAGACCTTAAAACCTCTCAATTGTGACAATTGCCACATTACCAAGTTGTTATTCCTCGGATACTAGGATGCTTTAATCAAAGAATCTACATGGCAAGAATTGCTTGCAAGCAAAGATAATCAACAGAGAGAGATCCTTCCTCCAACAAAGAGAAAATCAAGTAACAAACACCTCACAAACATCAGATTAACAAAACAAAGATTAAAAAGAAAAAAGAAAATCTTGAATTTTGGTAGACCACATCAAACATTATGGTAAAAATAATTCAGAACTTTGAGAAGAAAACCCTAATCCTAATTGTATCTGCATCGAACTACAACCCCAAAAATAATAAAAATAAAAAGATACAGAAAAACAGTAAAGGGTGAAAAAAATTTAAATTAAAAAAAAAAACTCAGAAACTAGATATACAAGGACAACCCACATTGCTTGTTTCTGCAAAGTTCAAGAAAATCATCATTACTGGGTCAACACATACAAAGGAGAGAGTGAAAGAAAGTAGAGAGAGATTAAAAGACTAACCATGGTGAGAGTAAGTGAAGACAGCTCTGTAAGTGTAGATGTGGTCTCCTGGCTTGATCTCACTTCTCTCTACCCTGTTGCTGATGAGCCCCATCTCAGCCCCTTCCTCCTCCCCTGCCCCTCTCTATCTCTGCTCACCTCTTCCCTAAAATGAGCCCACTTTGCAAGTCAAGTCGTTCCAGTTTAATGACACCTGCAAAACAAAAGGCTTTATTAGTATTTTTTTTACTTTTTTGATTAATTAAACAAACAAATAATAATCTTTATTTTTGAGGAAAGAAAGACAATCAATAACAACCCAAATGGGATCAGAGAGAGATGATTGGCTGATCAAAGCATCTGATGAACTACCATCAACCCACCAAAAGATGAATGACGGTGGTGATGATGATGGTTTTTTTTTTTTTTTTCATTGTCTTTGTTTTCATTTGTTTTTCTTTTTAACTTTTGACTGGTGGGGCTTGTGGAGTCAGAGAAAGGAAATGGGTGATAATGGATTCGAGTCGTTTCTGTGCCGATTTGGTTTTCGGGGAATCCAAGAAATGTTGTTCCAACGGGTATAGAAATCCCAAACCCAAAAGCCACGTCGTTTTAGCGTTGTTTATTGTCGTTTCTTTCACAAAAGTTATGCCTTGCCTCTATCCCAACACGGTTCTCGTCTAATCTGTTTTTTTTTTTGTCCAATGGTGATCTAATTCTAGTTGGGGTCATTTTAAAATACAGTTTCGCAAAAAGTGATAAATTATGATATTTATAATATTAATTATTATAAATGTTATAATTTATTTTTTTAATTAAGTATATCTAAACACTATATAAAATATAATAAAAGATCTTTTGATTAGAGGTTCCAAAAATTTTACAAATTTTTTTATCAAATGTCTCACATGCGTGTAAAATTCACACTATGTTAGTTCCATGTAGATCTCATATTCATGACATTCGATAAAAATTTAATAGAAAATTTCAGAACCTCTAATATTTTTGTATAATTAAAGACCTTATCTTTACTCTTCTCCTCCTCTGTAGGGGACCAACGCCCCAATCTCATCCCTTTCCCAATGCCCTCCAAGTTGTTTTGATTTCTATGGTCAAATAAGTGGTGATTATCCGATTATATAGTGTAAAATAGAAAATGATTGTTCAGTTGTTGATGACTGAAAAGGGGAGTATATTAGTTCTCAGAATTTCAAATGAAGGGGCTAAGGTTTTAAATAAAAAGAGGTTACAGTTTTGAACGAAGAGAAATGATTAGGGGAAGGCATACAGCTAGAAGTGGTGGATCAAAAAAGGACTGAGATAAGGAATTAAGATAGTTGGGTGGATGGTGACAACAATAGGATGAGTGGAAATGGAGATGACAAAGAGGAAGGGATAGTGGTAGCTACCAGAGATGAGGGTAGCAACTGTTAGAAAGAGAGAAGATGGTTTTAGAGTTTTAGTAATTTAACTTAAAAAGTATAATGATATTAAAAAAAGACAAATATTAAAGAGTACCTTAGAAATATTATTTATTGGGATTGAGACCAAAAAAAAAAAGTCTCGAAAATAAATATAAAAAAAATTAAAGAGTATAGTGATTGATTTTAATAATAAAAAAAATGCATTAAATTCAATAAAACATGTGTTGTGGGTTTAATTTTTTATTTTTTTTTTGTGCGCTAAAAACATTTGTTAGCCATAATCATTAAAAAAATTAAATGTGTGACGTTTAGTAACATTTTAATACCAAGTATAATTTGAAATTAAAAGAAATTATTGGTCAACTTTGGTAGAATTACTAGGAGAAATCATAATCAATATACATTTAATAAGATGTGCATGTCAGCTTTGCCTAGGCTCTTATATTAGAAGGCCGGCCAATAATTGTGTATTGTATCAAAACAAATTTTGAAAGTTGATAAAAAGCTGATTTTTGGTTTTTTTTTTAACCAAAAAAGTTAGTTTTTTGGGTAGTGACTTGGATAAAAAAGCTAGCTTTTTGCTAGCTTGCGAGGAGGAGGGTGCACTGGGGTATTTCAGGTGGAATTTCAACCTGCTTAGTTAAACTCCTGTACACATTATCAAATTCTAAGTTTCTAATGCTTCAAAAAATAAACCCTAAATCTCAACAGTCAACTGAACTTGAAAGAATAAGCAGCTGTGCTATGCTGCTAGGGTTTATTGAAATGAAATTATACAACAATAATTACATATATCTCCACATAAATTAACAACAATGATCCTCCCAAACGTACCTTAAACCTCTACACACACACATCAAATATTAATCTATCGTAATAAATATATATCTTATGGAAACACCCTTCTAACTTTCTAAAGATATGTTCCAATTGTAGACCTTTACATCAAACTCTGGACCCTGTTCTAACAAACGGCTCAATTCCTTGGCACTCTTAGTGTCTTTGGCCAGTAACAATGCGAAACCTCCACCACCAGCCCCCACAAGCTTGTAGCCACAGCAGTAACGATCAGAAAACGCAAAGAGTTTGTCAACGAATTCGTTGCTACAATAAGGGTCAAGTTCTTGATGCAACCTCCAAGCCTCCAACATTATCTCCCCAAGCTCATCTACATCGCAGTTCATTAAAGCTTCCCTCCCGATCTTTGCCAGTTCAGTCAGGCGTTTGATACTGGATACAAGCAGGTTGTCACGTTGGAGATACCGGATTACCACCTTTTGTAGGACCTGGTGTGCGAGTCGAACCTACATAGAGGTTGTAGGAGGGAATGTCAGTGCAATTCAAAAAACATGGAAAACATTCATTAGAGGTCATGTTAGATTGTGAAGGAACAGATATCATGAATTTTAATCACAGAAAATGAGACAGAAGATTAAAATCAATAATATCAAATCCAAGGCTAAAGGGTGAGGGACCATCTGTAAATGAATATTGCCAACAAAAACCTTTTTTAATGCTTGAATACTTCTCACTGCAGCTAAAGTTTTCTACTCAAATCAAAGCCTTGTTCCACCAAATGGGTAAGCAACTATGAAGCATGGATACTTCTAAAAGGGAGTCCTATCGTATCCATATCGGATATTGATACTCCTAGGATACTTGCGGATACGTATCTTGATACTACATAAATGTATCCGATACTGATGTTAATTCTGAGAAGTATTGGATACTTTTTAGACATTCTAAGTCACGTATCCAAACTATTATGAAATTAAAATCGTAAGAATTTTTGTACATTATTAGAGTATAAATATTAGAATAAATACAAATTTGTATTTCAATATTTTCTTATTTCTTACCGAAGAAGAAAATGGTGAGATCAAAGCTGTACCCTGCTTTTTTTAGATTTTGTCATATTGCCATATCTATATCAAAGCTGTATCCATACACATGCTTCATCATAGGTAAAAGCAACAATAAACGGCCCACATTTTGGGTAGGTTTATAACAAACATTTAAGCCGAATGTTAAGAGTGCAATAGGAGAACAAAAGAAAACTTGAAGTGGTGGATTTGTGACAGTGGAATATTGCAGCAATTAGCATTAAATTTGTAATGCCAAATATGTTCCAAGGGAAAAGCTCATTTTCTGTATCAATGAAATTTTTTAGGGACGTGCAGTTCAGAACACTCCAGGACCCTCATTATAGATATAAAACATGGGATTACGTATAACTGGATTAACGACATGTAATATTAAAAAAATTCTCCAAACTGAACACAGATCAAGAGAAAAGAAAAGAAAAGAAAAAAATGCATGCTTACTTGACCAGTAAATACCACAAGGAGTCGTTGCTGCAACTCGCTAATCAACTGAGGAGAAGCCAACAAGGGGATGACTTGAAGCCGCAACGGTACTCCAGGAAAACTTGCAGTAAATTTAATGCCTGGGTATAAACCTCCAATTTGATCCTGCCAACCACCTCCTGTGCCCATGAGCTGCTCCAATACCAAAACAAGTCTCGCAACATTTTCATTACTTTCGTCTCCATCAGTAATTTGGAGAAGTCCCTTGACAACAGCTGCTGCTAAAATGCTGGAAGTTCCCAAGCCACTACCACGGGGAACATTAGCCCATGTTTTAATTTTCAAGCCCGTAGATAGAAGGATATTGTCATGGACAATACCAGTCACAAGCAGTGAAGATTTAACAAGCCGGAATGGATCATCATTGGCAAAAGGAGTTGCAATAGAAGATAAATCTTCAATATGTAACTGGTTTCCAATATCGTCACTGATTGACACCCCAGTCCTTTTTGTTGTCTCTATGATGGTGCCAATTGGAAGAGAACCCTCTAAAGTAATTGCCATATTTAAGACATAACCAGCACGCTCTAAACTCCATGGAGGAGTATCACTCCAACCCCCAACAAAATCCACACGAACTGGTAACTCAACTTTTACCGTTCTGGAGGACACAGATTTATCCATATGACCATCAATGTTAATGCTCTGAGTTGCTTTTGTAACTGTCATACTGGAGGATTCAAAGAGATGTTCTGATAAACGCAAAAGACAATATGTTAACTAAAGTTGATCTCATCACAAAATCAAAGAGGACAACTTATGCATAGCGAATGGATTAAACTCCAGTAGAATAATGAAACAAAGCATTATATAATGTATTTCACTTGGGAAATGTAAGAATATAAAACAAAGAGAGATGCCGATACTAATAACCATACAACATTGCTGACGCATTTGTTTCTTTTCATCTTAGCACACACTTTTGTAACTACAAAGATATGAAAGTCATGCTTACCTTTGAAGCCGTATCTCACTGCTGAAGCAGTTTCTTCAGCCACTGCAGACCAAATTTTGTGATCCAGTTCACATGCTGTTGTTTCATCACTGCATGCTCGAAGAAGATCAACTTCCACCTGGTATGCCCTACTTTTAGGAAGGATTTTAGAGTTCTGTGCCTTTAGATTGGGACACAAGGCCAGGAAGTCTTTGCATATTTTGACTCCTGATGCTTCTTTTTGCAGAATTTCTTCACACAGTTGAGACAAGTTGCGTCCAAGCAAACCGAAATTAAGGCAAGCTTCAACAATCCCAGCGGCAAGATCTGCCTGATGATTACCAGAGCCTAAGCACATTTGTGGAAAGTTAATTGATCTATGCAATTCCTCTAAACTGACACGGTGTGACCTTTTCCATAACGGAAGAAAGGATTCGTTTCTTTGGTCACTCAAGCCCATCAGCCATGTTGCCAAACTAAGCATCTCAAAGTAAGAAAGAATGGGAAATATTTTTGCATTCCACAAGCACTTCTCCTGAGTACCTATTGAGTTCCACAAGTCACCTTCTTGAATTTCCAAATCATCTAAGACCTTTTTCCAGGGTTTGCCACAGAAAGTTCCATCCTTTGAAAGAGAATTCTTTGGGTTATCATGTAGACCACAGTACACAATAACTCTTCCAGTGCATCCTACTAAGGGAACCTCCCAAAGACAATGGCGATCAGGAAGCATGAACTTGATAGGCTCCTTTGCTGCACTATCGTTGACTACTGGCACATTAACACCAACAACTATGGATAGAGAACCAATCTGTATCCCGCCTGAAATGGAAGAATCATATATAAGAGAATCTTCCCCAATTGAGACATGAGGTGCAATCTTGCTGGAAAGAATAATGGCAGATGCAGCAATGTCAGACTCAGTGGTTGCTGGAATGGAACACAGGTGTCTACGACCTACAAGTCCTGAACTAGCCCCAGCTAGGTGATCCAAGACTTCACTTGAGGTTCCAAAATGTAAGAACGACAAATCATCTGCACGGCAATGGACCCAAAAAAAAAAAATATCAAGGACGTCTTTAGTAGCATATACATATAATAGACCAAGAAGCATAACATAACCGATCTATATGCTAATGTACAAATTTTAAACAACTTACAAATAACTATCTAAAGAAATTTTGATCTCTAACTCATGGATTGGAGGCAATGGTGTGGTAAAAGCCAGTCATCACAAATCCAAGTTCTCAACTCATAGAATACAATATAGTTCTACAAATGCTTTGAAACATACAATCGAGTTTTTCTTGAACAAACAAAGAATTAATGAGTCATTTGTTATTTAAATAGGCTAACCGAAAAACTGTGTATAAAAATTAGAATTCAACCAAATATTGTTAGTTTTTGTAAGAATCATTTGAATCAAGTAGTGTCATGATTCCCATGGCTCTGGCCAGCATACACAAAGTTGTTCACTAAAATGAACAATATAAGTTGAAACCTGAGCCAATAAGAATAAGCAGCATTAACAAAAGAAAACACAGAGTTAGAAATAACACCGCTCATATCATTGTGATAAATGGAACAATGTTCAACATACAGGCACAATAGCTGAACATCTTTTGTCGTCCCAATCTATTGATGAGTTCTTGACCTAAAGGGCGTGGCTGCAGCCATGCATGTTTTGCAGGTACCCAAGCTGCTACAAGATCTTCATACAAGCTCATCTGCACAGTTTCCACAGATTTATTTGAAGATCAAAAGATGTCCTGTTTCTGCAAACCCTCTAAAAAAACAAGATTAATAAGATTTTAAGGTAAGCATAGCAAAGACAAGATAAATGAAACATAATCTCCACAAAACCAGGAAGCAGAGCAAATGGACATTTAAAATAGATGGCCAACAGATACCCAAAAATAATCATCGCATAATGTCAAGGTTGCTCATCAATAAGAAGGGAGAGATTGAAAGAGCATTACCCATAATTTAGAATCAAACAGATGAAAACAAGAAGTGCTTCTAAAGCACGGAGAAAGCAGCTATTACTTGCAATTTAAAACGAACTTTGGTTAGGAAGATTAGAAAGCCAGCCATGCTCTTCAACCCATTCTGTCTGCAACATACATTATGTATATCTAAAATATGATGTTGAGATGAATAATTAGCATGACAAGAAATAAAACCACACACACAGAGGGGAAAAAAAAACTCATTCGCAAGAACTTCCAGAGTACGGAAGAAAAAATTAGCTAGGATGGTTTACTCATGTACAGTCATAGCCCCTAAATGCACCAGCACGGGAAGGGATTTGGAAAGGATGACAGGAAGACAAAAAAGAAAATGGCCAAAGTTATAACAATAGAACTGATGGCATATAATTTGACAGGTGATCTGACAGATAATATGAAAATAGACAAAGCTGAATAGCCGAGGGATTCCCGTAGCTGGACTCAATGAGTAGTACTCAACAAAAGTAGATCACCATGAACAGAGTTTATAGGATCAGTATGAAAAATCATATCCTATCTTTAAACTCTGCCGCTGCACTGTAGAAAATGATGAACCATCTCAATCCAAACCAAACCAAACCAAACGAAGCCTTAAGTCCCATCAAATGGGGTCGGCTACATGAATCCTTCTTCTCCACGCGGCCCTATCAAAGGCCATTTCATTGGTCAAATTAAGTAGATTCATATCTCTATTTATAACGCTAGTCAACGTTAATCTAGGCATACCTCGTCCCCTAACACTTCCATCTACCGTTACAGCATCGCATCTCTTCACTACTGCCTCTGTTGGTCTCCGTTGAATATGACCAAACCATCTCAAACGATTCTCTCTCAACTTATCTTCTATCGGTGCTACTCCTACCCATTCCCGAATACACTCATTCCTAATCCTATCCTGTCTAGTCTTACCATACATCCACCTTAGCATTCTCATCTCAGCCACATTCATCTTATCTACATGTTGTTTCTTGGTTGCCCAACACTCCGTCCCATACAACATAGCTGGTCTAATAGCCGTTCTATAGAACTTACCTTTTAGTCTAGTGGGTATTCGTTTATCGCACAATACCCCAGACGCACTTCTCCACTTACACCATCCCGCCTTAATCCTATGGGCCACATCTGCATCAATCTCTCCCGCTGTTGTGATAATCGACCCTAAATAACGAAAATGTTCACTCTTAGGCAGTTCTTGGTTCTCAATCTTCACTTCTCCTCTGCTTTCATTGTTACTGGTACTAAATTTACACTCCATGTACTCTGTCTTAGTTCTGCTTATCCGAAATCCTTTAGATTCAAGAGCTTTTCTCCAAATCTCCAACTTTGTGTTAACTCCTTCTCTAGTCTCATCCACTAACACAATATCGTCTGCAAAAAGCATACACCATCTCAAATGGTTGCCACTATTACCGCTGGAATATTGCCGCCAAAGAGTTTTCAAGGTTTTGAGGGTGGGTAGGTTTTGAAGGTGGGATTTAGGGAAGATGGATGGGTGGTGATGGAGGTG